GCCACGGTGTTATCACCCAGAGAGAACAAAAAAACACAAAGGCAGAAATGTTTGTTCCTCTTTGTAGTACAGTCAAGTATTCAAATGCCATGATTGTTCTAGCATTTTATTGATTGCTTTTTTGAGGCAGGGTTTACTATGTAGTCCACCCTGGGCTTGCAGAGATGCTCTTGCCTCAGTGGCCCAAGTGCTAGGATTATAGGTGTGTGCCACCATGTCCTGGGTAGCATTTTAAAAACTATGCCATCATACCTGCAGCAGTAGTCAATGATTTTCATGTCAAGTTACTTAAGATAAAAACACTGTCTTCAAAAGAGAGAGATTTCTTCCCAGCTGGGTTTAGCAGAATGTGGTCCCAGGTTTCCAGTGCCTCTTGTCCTGGTCCCTGCATCTCAGCCTCATTGAGTGAAGGGTCTCATAAGTGCCTGTCTCATCAGCTGTGCCCAGACAGTTGCTGTGAGCATGGCTGTGTGCAGGCGGCTGCACCATAAAACACTCAAGGTGTAAACGTACAGCAAAATGTTCGGAACACATTAAGCATATGGTTTGCCAGTTTAAAAAAACCAAGATCTTTAAAAAAGAACAAATTAAACTATTTAAAATACCCCCAAATAAGCTATCAAGTGCTTCAAACCACAATAATCAACTTTCCCAACCCCCTCAAGAAAAACAAACTTCACAAAATCTACTCTTTCTAATAACTTGAAATAAAACAAAAAACCTTCAATATTTGTGTTGCGGTAAAAAACAAAACAAAAACCCCAATCTAATCTTTCTGAAGAATAAAAAAAGCTACAAAGACAAATGGCACTTCCTAGATAGAGACTAATTACAGTTTCAAAAATTCACCAGTTGGGCATGATTTGGAGACGTCTGCTTTCTCTCTTCATGTCTTACAGAAAAACTAGGGGGTATGAGAGTAACAGCTAAACCTCTTCCTATGAGTCACAGAAGAGATAAGAAAAGAGGCCTTAGCAATCTCTCATTTGAGGGACTGAGAAGTTAATCCTGTTGCCTCAGGCCTCGTGTTTGCCTTTGCTTATCAGTTTGGAACAATCATCATTATGTTGTCATAAGACTGAGAAATAGAAACTGGATTAGTATTTGAAAAAGTGACAAGATTTCTGTTGCACTGAACAATCCCAGAAGATACTACCTTCATTTTAATATAAAATGTATCAGATCTACATATGAGAATATAAAAATATACCAGCAGAGAAAGGATATCTAGCTGTAATAGACCTTATTTCCCAGTCCAATTTGAAATAAAAAGACTTGAAGATCCAAAGCTACATTAATGCAAATATCTGTCTGTTGCAAGTATACTTTTTGATTAAAGTGGCATACATCAAGTACAATTAGAAAGGTTATTTATAACGAAGAAATACATAATTCTGCATTTTAATGTCGATGACAATTACAGCTGATGGCTGCTAATTAACATTACTTCTTTTGCTTTGGGTGTTAGATATTTCTATATTCTTTATAGTTGACAATGGACACACCTAATTGTGGGAGACACAAAAGGGTTAACAAATCAGTAACACTTGTGCTCTTAACACATTCATTTGAGAAGCACATGGTAACCTGCCCAACTCTCGCATCACACTGGAGACCAGAGGACCAAGTATAATTGGTAAACTGACTTAGTCTCATGGCAGCAAAGGTGTATATTCAGCTTTCTTTCAGAGCCACCAGATGTTCAGAATGACAGGGAGAAAAGTGCCTCCATGCCTCTCTCCAGGTGGAGCGGTCTGCGCTGACAGCTCAGGAGTGTGTGGTTAGTGCTGGAAGCTGGAAGTGAACTGGAAAGGAAGAAGCACTGCCCATAGCAGCCTTCAGCACAGAACAGTGTAACACCCTCTTTGCTTGTGCTGTAAATTCCATATTTATTTTGGTAGCCTGACATACTGTGGATGAATATTTCTACATACAAAGGTACCTAGATAAAACCAGGATAAGTGATATTAATGTCCTATGGTCAGTATTATTGAACCTCTAAAGCAATAAACTTTATGAGTCGATAAATATTACATTTGCAACATAGTTAACATTCCTTTACTGTCTCTAGCACTTATAACACATTGTAACTGCGAGTCTACAATACATTATTCATATTTGGGGTGTCACCAAGTGATGGATTGCTGTAGGAAATGCTGTCCTTTAAATAAATCAACAAATAAAAATGCAAATGTTAACATTTTCAGCCACAACTTTTTCCATCTTGAATGGGGAATGAAATTTTCACGTTATATTGACAGCCAGCAGAGGGAACAATTAACAACCTACACTGCAAATGAGAAAGATGACTCTGCCATGCCAGTTTTTTCACCTGTACACAGAATGATATGGGACACTTCTAGGTGTTTTCAGAGAACAAAGGAAAACCTGTATCTCACCAGAATCTGAACTGTCATACCCTTATTTTCCTTTGCAAGTCTTAAATATTCTTAGAATTTATGGCAGACAGGAGAAAGAAAGTCTTGTCCTCGCGTTCTTTTTAGTACCTTCAAAGATTTGTTAAAGGAAAGAACCATAGGGTTTTCTCTTGTATTAAGAGTTTGCATGAACCTAAAAAGTAGCCTATAAAAAGTGCCTTTTGTGTCCTTTGAAATAAGAACAATTCAAATAATCCTGATTCTGAGGTCTGTAAAGCAACCACTGTGCCTTATTTTTTGTTTTTGTTTTTGTTTTGGTACTGGGGATTGAACTCAGGACCTTGTGCTTGTGAGGCAGGCAGCGGAACCACTGAGCTAAATCCCCAGCCCTGTGCCTTGTTGATAACTGATTTTCATAGTATTGCATCTTTTTTTCAAATCTGTATTTGGAATAGACCGAACGATACACTTCTAAGGATAAAATCTAGTGTATTACACATTGCTTTATTTAGTCAAATGTTCATTATTTATAAACCTTCTACAAATCTACATTTACCTGATCTGCAGTATTGAGTAACAAAAAAATCTTTTTTTTTTTTTGGTGCCGGGGATTGAACTCGGGTCCTTGTGCTTGCACAGCAGGCAACGAAATCACTGAGCTAAATCCCCAGGCCCCCCCAAAATCATTTTTTAAAAGTCTATAATTATTTAAGTCTTCCCAACAATATTTTTTAAAACTTTTTTCTTTTGGTGGTGGTGGTGGTGCTGAGGATCAGTTCCAGGTCTTTACATATGCTAAAGCTGGTAAAATTCTACAAAGTTGATATGGTCCATTCAGAAAATTTGTGCTGAGGATGTTTTACAAAACTCTTATGGAGAAATGCTTTACTCCTTTTCCATGCTTCTCTCTAAACTGAAATGCAACCACTAGAAACATATTACAGTGATCTTAAAGATCTCATTTTAATATTTAACAATAGGAAAATTCACTGAGATTGAAAATCCAGATAATTGCCCCCTTGTACCTCTAATTCCTCCAAACAAATCCCTCAATGTGAGCCAGATGGAAACTCTTTGAGCACAACTTTCAACCAACTGTTAAACCATCCAAAAGGGGCACCATCAATATTTCAGAATCATGTGCTGGGTGTGGTGGTGCATGCCTGTAATCCCAGCACTCAGAAGGCTGAGGCAGTAGGATTGTTGTGAGTTTGAGGCCAACCTGGCCTAGTGAGCTCAAGGCCAACATGAACTGCAGAGTGAGCCTGTCTCAAAACACCAAAGCAAATCCCGCCCCCAAAACGAAAAAAAAAAAATCAGAATCACAACTCAGTGTAGGTCTTTGCCAAATGTCAACAATGCTAGCATTAAAAAGGAAAGAACGACGAACAAAGTAAATAGCAAAATAGTTAAATTCTCTTTTGATTGTGGTTGACCACTACAATAGGGAGGTTGTCATTATTATTATAATATTGTTTAAGATTATGGCTCTGGAGTCTGCTAGGTAACCTTAGACAAGTCATTCAATCTCTTTGAGCTTTAGTTTCCTAGCTTTTAAAATGGGGGTGATAGAGGTCCCATCTCATTATATTATGAAGATTAAATCAGATAATTTATTAAGAGGCTTGGCACAGTGCTGGACACATAGTAGAGTACTTAGCAGTCATAACTATCTTCTGTGTCAGTCATTTCTCAAGTTCTTCATGATGCTTAACGGTCTGGCTCCAGAATTAAAGGCTTGTCAATAAGAGACATGATTACAATGCACACTGGTTCTTAGTGATTTCTAGGCTTGGCTTCTGTGGCACAGTATTTCTACTGAACTTGGAAATGACACTTTAGATAAGTCTTTAGAAGTGTTAATGCATCTCTCCTTTTGAAATGACTACAAACCAAAAGAACAAATTTCACAGTATATAATACTTTTGAAATTATCAGCCTTGAGACCAACATTGTAGGCATTTTTACTTTCCAAGTCTAGCGGACTCTGAGTTAACTACAAATTAAGTCTTAAAACCTATATTCATTTGATAAGATACTAGGAATTTTAAGTGTCCCAAACCAATCATATCCCCAAGGAAACATAAACCAAGCCTTTTTGGTACTGATATTTATATATTGAGCCTTTAATGTGTAATATGGAATTGGCTTATTAGATATGAGAAATTTTAAGTTATGCATTTCTTTTCTTGAATCCAGAAATGGCTGATCAAATGATTAACCTTTCTAATATCTCTGCTATAAGTATTTTGACATACTTTAGTACAAAAGCCACTGTAATTTTCAAAATTAATTTATTTAGTTAAACTTACAGTTCAAATGTATAACCATTCCAAGATAAATTAGGAAGTACTGGCTACTGGGCAGACTTTCTGATGAAGCATCAGCTTTGAGGTTTAATGGAAATCCTTCCCAACTGTCATGATTAAGCAAGTACATGCAGAGACAAAGAACTCCATGTGGTTTAACCTGGCCAAATTTATATGCCACAAGATAAGAACCTTTCTTTTCAGTAAGAGCCATTAAGAATTGTCAATATTTTTCCAATTCTTATTTTAACAAGACATCTCAGAAAATTCTCTCATATGGAGAATAGTAAATCAAAGAATTCCTACAGCTTACCGGGGAGAGTTGTATTGGAATGATGATGAGGCCTTAGTTACAAGCTTCTTTTGGCTGCCTATTGGGATAGGTGATGTAGATGCATCTTTTCTAACTTCGAGCATTGTCCCTGGATAAACAATAAAGGAAATAATTTGGGCATTCAGTAAGAGGAAATAAAAAGTCCACAATAGATATCCCCTAAATTCAAAGACAGGTCATTTTTTTACCTCCAGAAATGGAAAAATGACAGATAAAAAATTCAGCGAGTGGTTTTGGTTTTGTAAACAGTCAGCATTGCCTTATATGTGTGTGTGTGTGTGTGTGTGTGTGTGTGTGTTTTAAAGTACATTTGTGAAATAACAGACTAACTAGAAACTTTGTTTATAAACCAAGTAGTCTGTCATATTCCTGATGATTTGGGTTTATTGTGAAAATGTCCAAGAAAGTAGGTTGTTTTATTTTCTTTGCTTTGACTAAGATCTTTCTTTTTGACAAAATAGAAAATTCTAGCATCTGCAAAATAATCCTTTTTAGAAGTTTTCACAGTAGACATAAATATAATTAGGTTACCACAGGTCTTAACTGAAAGATGCTCAACTAACTACTCTAGGGCTCCAGGCAGATTCCTAAACAATAGTGTATCTTACGTAGCATCAAAATTCCAAATCAGATTCCAAATCAGCATACTGGGTGATTTGGACCCAGCTCGTCTCTAAAAAGGAAAATGTAGTTGACAATTACTTATTTCTTTCAGAATGCTGCATTAAAAAATGATATTTACAGATTTTTGTGCTTGATTTTCTATTAAATATTTTTCAAACAACACAAAATATCCTTGTCTTTGTCTTGGAAGACTATAAGAATCTCATTAAGTTTTCTTCTGGTTCTTGGAGAACTGGTGTCCAAGAATTTATTTGAGAGGATCCAATCTTTCTTTGAGGAAAGAGTATTCACGTTACACAAACAGCTTTGGAGTGCTGGGAATACCAGATGTAAAAATGCCAAGATGGTATGTTAACTCCGTGAATGCCAACAGTTTTTGTGTGACCAGAGAAAAATAAGCGCTAGAGAAGACTACAGTCTTATATCTGCAGAGATTAGTATCAAAATGGTTGTCATGACCAGATGCACTGGTACATGCCCAGAATCCCAGCTACTCGGGAGGCTGAGATAGAAGGATCACAAGTTTGAGGCCATTCTCTGCAATTTAGGGAGACCCCATCTCAAAACGGAATAAAACAACAACAACAAAAAAGGATGTAGCTCACTGTAAAAGCCCTGGGTTTAAACTTCAATATCGTAAAAAGGGCTGGCCCTACAGCTCAGCAGTTGAGAGCCCCTGGGTTAAATCTCCATTACAGAAACAGACAACAACAATAAAAACCCATAATATAAGAAAAATAAAACCTACTGCCCTTGGCATTTGTTATTCAAAAGTTATACTCTTAATATCAACTATTCCCTAATATGCATAGATGTAAAAGACCCATTGTCTAATTGTACAAATCAGTTGTCTCTGTATTTATGTACCTGTGGGACCCTCCATCCAAGCCAGTACATACTCATACTAGACATAACTCCATGAGTCTTGAGAGTGCAGTGAGTCAGTAAATATCTACTGAATACTTATGATGGGACTGATTAAACTGAGGCTTTGTTTATAGAGGAAGGGAAGATGGGCGTGAGAGTAAGGAAATGAGATACTCTTAACAGTTCTGTAAAGAAACACAGCTCCAGACAGTATAAAGTAATAATAATTGCTAACACATATAGTATGCTCAGGACATGTCAGGCATTATTCCAGACCTTTTCCATACCCTGGTACTTGACTGCTCTGAAACTCATTGAATTTGGTACTTCACAAATCTTGGCATGAAAATTTTGCCCTGTACTTTTCATTTGTTTGGTACATGATGTGCAAGCTAGAACTTGTTGGTGTTGATTGCCTCATGACTTGCTACCCTCTCCAGCCAAAACAATTTGTTTGGTACTCTTTGTTTTGGTTATTTATTTCACCCCCCAGAACAAATTACCAATGAGTACCAACGTACCACTGTATCCATCCATCCATCCATCCATCCATCCATCCATCCATCTTCTTAACAGCTGACATGGGGTATAATTTGAATACCATTTCTACAAATTAATTTTATCCTCATATCCTTTGCTACAAATACTATTTTTGTATCAAATTTACAGATAAAGAAAATAAATGATAGGGAATTTATGTGACCTGGCCAGAGGTACAAAGTTAGTAAGTAATGTTTAGGCAATCAATGGAGAGTTTTCACCATTACACTATACTGCTACAATAGTATGAAAAATATAAGGAATTAAGAAGTGGGAGAGATTACATCTGCCATAGGATTAGGAAGTTTTGATGTAGGAGGTAGAATTTTGATAGGAAAAATTAAGCATAGAATTTGAATCATACACATTAGCAAAAGCATTAAGTCCTTAAGGCCAACTATTTAAGTTATTCAGAAATATTTATTGAATTATCAGTATGTCCTTACACATTGCTAATGACTTTAAATGTATTATCTCATTAATCCATGAACAGACTTTAATTATTGTTTTCATTTTATAGAAAAGGAAGTGAAAACTGTAAAAGATTAAGCAGCATGTTCAACATCACACAGTAAGGAAAAAGCTGAGTTTAAAATGCCAATTGGGTCTGCTTGATTCTGTATCACAGATTTTTTAACCATTATGCTCTCAAAAATAAATAAATAAAACAGCAACAACAACAAGAAAAAAAAGCCAAACTAGTGTTTACAGGGATTTATCTGTGGCTGAATTTAGAATACAGTGGAATAGACAAAATGGAGGCAGATACAGAAGTCCACTACTACTGTCACTGTCTGGGCAGAATCCTGGCCAATCTAGGGGAAATTAAGATTTGAGGCTCAGCTGAGAGAAAGAAATGCCTGGTAGTGAAGAATATAAATAACTTTCCAGGGGTGGATTAGTCAGTTTTCCCATTGCTGGACACAATACCCAACACTCACAACCTAAAGGACGAAGGGTTTTGTACGGGACTTGGAGGGCAGGAAGACCAAGGAAAAGAGTGGCATTCAGAGGGAGAGGAAAGGGAAGGAAGATGAAGGGAAAGGCAGATTTATTCACTAGCAGGCCCAGTGGAAGTCACCTTCCAGAGTCTGAGCCCTGATTTTAAATTTGTTTTCATTTTTATCTTGTTCTTTGGGCAGGGCGGGGAAGCAAGCAGAATGTTACAGAAGCAGAATTAAGCACAGGGTTGGGGCAAATGTTGCTTTTTCAATTCATCTTTAAAATACAGGGAGGTACAGGCAACTGTTGCCTTAGCAGTTCATCTTTCAGACACAGTGACCTTTGTGGGTTTAGCAGGAGGGGCAAGCCTTGAGACAGTCAGTTTCTGTCAAGCTTTGAGACTGTTGGTCTCTGCTTTGTCTTTTTTTGTTTTGTTTTGTTTTTTCAGTTTAATTTTTGGGGATGATTCAGTCTATAGTCAACTGGCCTTGAGGCAGGCGCAGAAAAGCAAGGCAGAACAAAGCACTACCAGAGAGGAATCTGCAAAGGACCATATTAGTACTCAAGGCCATGCCTCTTTGACCCACCCAAACACACCCAGGAGAGTGCTCTACTAATTGGCTAGGCTGTTCCTCTATCCAATGAAATAAGGCCACAGTCACTATCACAGAAGATCTGCACATTCATCTTACTTTGTCCTGTTTTGATACTTTAGAAGTTGGTTAAGGCAACTGACATTTGATGGGGGCTATCTATCTATCTGTTTTGTTGTTTTGAGGGTCTCACTATATAATTCTGACTGGCCTTGAATTCACTAAGCAGTCCAGATTGGCCTTGAACTCATGGCAATCCTCCTGCCTCAGCCTTCCAAGTGCTGGGATTACAAGTATGTGTCCATGCCTTGCTTTGATGAGGGCAATTTAAGGAAGGAATTTTATTTTATTTTGGTTTTTTGAGACAGGGTCTTGCAATATAGTTCAGGTTGGCCTTGAATTCACTGTAGTCCAGGCTGGCCTCCAACTTGTGGTGATCCTCCTGCCTCAGCCTCCCAAATGCTGGGATTACAGGGATACACTATCACACCCATCAAGGCAGGACTTTTAATAGATTCCAGGGACTTTTATAACTTATGATATAATTCAGGAATGTGTGAATCCTCCAGCAAGCACAATAATATAAATAATAATTTATATGTATCCATTCATTTTTCTGGGAAAAGAGATCATAGTTTTTATCAAAATTTGAAAAGCCATGGAACCCCCAAAAAGTTATAAATGTTTACTCTAAGGCATAAATTTAACTAAAGCTATATATTAGCTTTTAATTATATTTGTTCCATCTGTAAACTTTGACTTAATATTAAGTATATCAGCAGTTATGTAAAATTACACATATTCCTGGAACTATATATTCTTGTATATTTGTGTATGCACACACACAAAAGCAACATATGCTTTTAAAAAAATGAAGGGGTGAGAAGAATATCCATCAGGCCGATCAACTACATATATACATGTGTATGTTTACATATATATGAATGCATATACATTTATAGAGTAAAGACGCACATATATTTTTGGACACATAGATGGAACTGAACATAATGGATCATGTCCTATTTATATGTAGCTGGGTCTGCTCATTCATCATTTAACATCTCAGGATAAGATACTTTTTTATTAGAATTCAATAATTAGAAACCTCTGTTTCTGGGCCCTTTATTTTGCATTTTAAAAACAATGGGCTACATCATATATTCAGTTTAGCTTAAAGAATACATTACAAAGCAAACACCATTATAACTCCTTTCCAGACCAAGAAACAAAGCACTGGCAGCACTGCCCTACAGATGCATCGCCAGCATGCCTCTCTAGTCACATCTCACCTCTTCTTGCCTCCAGGAGCTAGGCACTATTCTTTAAGTATTTCCATACTAATATTAATATACATATATAGTTTTCAACACTGGAGATTGAACCCAGAGCCTTAACATTGAGCTACGTGCCCAGCCCCCACTCCTTTTATTAGATTCTGACACAGGGTCTTGCTAAGTTGCACCACTGAATTGCCCAGGCTGGCCTGAAACTTGCAGATCTCCTGCCTTCCTCTCCCAGA